TTACCTTGACATTTGACTCCTCATCCAGATGCAGAAGTTCAAGGACCTCACTAATTCGATTTCTTTTTTCATGTCTTGTTACATATGTTGGAATTCGAAGAGCTGCTGAGAACTCTACATTCTCTCTAACAGTCACTGTGCGCATCACCATGTCATTCTTAAGGTTAAATGGAATTTTAATTAAATATAGTTATCATGAAGACAATCACTCTATAAATGTAACCTGATCCTCATATAAACAATATTCTATGTAATGCTCTACTGAAAAATAAGCTTTCAATGCTACTAATTTCAACTACAGAGCCTGATGCAATCATTTTCACCCCCCTCCCATTTGCCTTCCAAGTAGAGCTCAGGGATTTTTGTGACTGCTACCTGCAATTATTTGCAGAAAACATCTAAGCAGTGGAGAAAGATGGAGGAAGGGCAAGGTTGGACAAAGGTAGTCCTTTGTAGAATTAAATCACAGCTGCAATTACTAATACTGTACCAAAGATGTCATACTCAACCCCTCCCCATCTTCCTATTTAATAATGCCAGTCTCAGGCTAAGGAGTCACTAGGATAAGCTGGTGTAGAGAAAGTCAAGCCTATAAATGTGCCATATAATGAACTGGAAACACACAAATCTACAAGCTGAGCATCTAACCATACAGAGGCAGAGGGAATCTAAAATTACAAACCCACCAACACTTACTTGTGGGACATAACCAGAAGTACATTGGAAATTAGCAGGTCGAGGTTTTCCATTTATCAGAATATCTCCTGATAATCCACGTGGATCTTTCCTTGCAGCTAAGACATCTAATAACCTAGAGAGGGTTATGTATGTTGTGTAGTTTAGTTTCTCCCTTCAGTAACAGCTATAATCTTTTACATATTCAGGATAAAAATTCTACATAAAGTAAGACATAAAATTAAGTGGTAAACAAGTCAAAAGTTTAACTGAAATCTCTCTCTCTCTCTCTCTCTCTCTCTCTCTCTCTCTCTCTCTCTCTCTCTCTCCCTCCAGCAAGACCCACTCTCTCTCTCTTTTTTGCTCTAATACAGCTCAGAATTACAGATGCAAGACATGATCCACATGACTGCCCAGCCTCTCCCTGCTATCTGACCTTGGGGAGTAAGACAAGTAATGTCCTGCTCTATTTTGAGAGTTGGGCCTGGTGATGCTTTGTCTCCAGAAACTTCTCCTTCATCTTTCTAACTTTAATACTATCTCCCCCATATTTAATAATATTATGACCCAACTACATATACCAATCACTCTATCATTTCCCATCAAGAAATTAAAACTTTGGTGGTAGAAAATGAGAATGCTCCCTCCGGCACATTATCCATGTCCATGGCACATGGACAGACTCACACATAGACACACAAAACTTAGACAACTCCTGTAATTGTTTACAGCAGGGACACTGGATACAAAGGGCGTGCACATGCTTTCCTTTATACTCACAAAGATCTGCTCCCGTCCTGAGGTCCCATGATGGCATTGAGGCCAGGTTTCATGATCCCACTGCAGACACAAAATCAATCTGGGTGATTTTTATATTTAAAAGAAGTTATATTATCTTAGTGCCTAAATTGAATATGCTGTTGAAGCTGGATGGAATTGTACACAGAAAATAGCCATAGAAAAATAAAATATCAATAGAGGTCTATTATTTATAAGAGATGTCAATTGCTAGTGGAGATTAATCAGAAAAATGGCTCAGATATCCCAAAATCCCTGCTGCTTATTATTTAAATGACTTGTCTTTTTTGAAACATGGTGCATCTAAGTTCAGTGTCCTTGAAGCAAGTAGCAGGTTGTCATGAAGACTCTATTAAACATGTAACAGCTTCTTTCTAATGTTTGATGATCAGCATCTTCATATAGTCCTGCATGCAGCCTATATGAATGAGTCATGGGATTATCAGTAGACATGTCCTTACCTATTAAAATAGAATCAAATCAAAGTCAATGCATCTTATGTAGAAATCCAAACACTAGAAAGAAGTGCTCCAGAGACAGGAGAGCATTACCAAGTTTAACACTCAAAACAAACCCCACAGAATCAAAATAGAAAAGCTAAATAAACACACACACAAAGGATAATTTCCTTCCCCGATAAAGAGATTAGAATATTCTCAGTTTAGAGTTGAAAGTCATCCCTCCTGGAGAGGACATTCTTCATTGATGAATACGTGAAAGATTTTAGTTTGCTGAGAGAAAAGGTTTTAAAAGATTTTAGTTCACAGAGAGAAAACGTTTCCCACAGGCCTTGGCCCACTACAAGGAAGCTGGCCCCAACCCCGGGCACATCCTATGGTTTAGACGGGGGCAATCGCCAAGACAACCCTCTTTGGGTCACACCTGGCTGGCCAACAATCAAGGACCTTTCAGGGTACGTTCTATGGTTTTTCCTTTGTAAAAAAGCAGGTCACACCTGGGTGACCACTCTAACATGAGATCATACTTTGTAATCAATCACTTTGTGCCCCTTGCCTGTATGCTGATCTGCGTTTTTTTCCTATATAAGGAACCTATAACCCTTGCTGGGGTGTTCAGCTTTCCCGATATTGCTGACACCCTAATGCACATTCGTTCAATAAACCCTCTTGCTTTTGCAGCTCTTGGTCTGGTTTCTGAGTCTCGGGGGCTCCTCGGGATCCTGAGGTCCTTATGGGTTTGAGGGGTCTTTCATAGGTACAGCACAAATACAAGTTATGTCAGAAAATTGATTCAGAGTAGTTAATATCCAGATTGAAAAAAGGCATTTCTTATAGAAAACTTAGCTTTGTTCCCATTTGTTACTTCATATCCAGACAATGTGTCAATCCTTTGCCCTGCCCATTCCCCTCTTTGTAAGAAAGTGATGGAGGTTGTAGGTGGAGGAGCAGAAACACCAGTGCCCAAGAACAGAGGCGATGGTTGGGGTTAGGAGGAAGAATCTATGCCGACTGTAGGGAAGAGCTTGCTCTGTGTACTCTGTCCTGGGATTTGGTTGGAAGCATGGTGTAGGGAGACACTGTAGCCCCGTCCCCAGGTAACACGGACAGGTGTGCCGGGAACATGCCCGTGAGGGCGAGGGCTGGGTGAGGGGAAGTCAAAGGCTTCTTAAAGGACCGAGGACACGTGGACCCTCCCTTCTTCTGGCCCTTCTTCTTGCTCCCTCCTCCTCGCTCTGGGCTGGCTGCTCTGGCACGCTTTGGCCTGCGCTTGGCTGGTGTATCTAAATAAAGAAATATTGACTGCTGATTGATAACTCCACAGCATGGCTTCTCTATGTCATGGAACAATATGCGGATTATTGGTTTTAGCTTTTTGTAGCTCTTGATGAATTTTGAGCAAAAAATGAGGACCCAGACTTTCTGCTGTTGGGACTTCCTCATTGCTTCCATCTCATCTCTTGTATCTGACCCTTCAGCCTGGTATAAACCTTCAGGTCAGTTTTGGGAGGGGATGGTTATACAGATGTGCACACAATTCTTTTAGATTTTCAAATTTGTAGTGCAATATTCCCTCGTATCACTTGATTTTTAACAGTGTGCCTTTTGTATTACTTTTCCAGCCTTAATTTTATTGAATTGCAACCATTACTCAGAATTGGGGGATTTTTTGTTTGTTTCCTTGTTTGTTTTGATAATGTGTCTGAGTTTGTCAAGCTTGTTTATATTTTCAAAGAACAAACTTTCTGTGTCATTAATCCATTACATTCTTTTTTTTTTCTTTTTTTTTTCTTTTTTTTTTTTTTGGTTTTTCGAGGCAGGGTTTCTCTGTGGCTTTGGAGGCTGTCCTGGAACTGGCTCTCGTAGACCAGGCTGGTCTTGAACTCACAGAGATCCACCTGCCTCTGCCTCCCAAGTGCTGGGATTAAAGGCGTGCGCCATCACCAACCGGCTAATCCATTAGGTTCTTTTAGTCTCCATCTCATTATGTGATCATGAGCCTATCTGTATGGACTCGAAGATGAGGCTGAGGAATGTTCAATGGGTGAAGCACTTGCTGTTCAAGGGTGAAGACCTAAGTTAAACATCCAGAATTCACATAAAGTTGGGTACAGTCATGGGCACCTGCAACTCCATGCTCTAGAGAGAGATGGGAGACAGAGACAGGAGAATCCCAGGACTCTTGCAGGCTGCTAACCTGGCATACACCTCAGCAGACAATGAGACACTTCGTCTGCTGCAGGGTAGCTCAAGGTTGTCCTCTTATGGCCTTGTACCGTGGTGTGTCGATGCATCCACACATCTGCACATGTGAACATGCACACATACAATTAAATGCACATATGCACACACACACCCTTACAGACACCCCCACGCACACACACATACACACACATATACACACACACACACATATACACACACACATATACACACACACACATACACACACACACACACTCACACACATATACACACACACAAGCACACACACATACACACACATACACACACACACATATACACACACACACACACACACACATATAACCAAAGTTTTAAATAAAATAGAAAACACTGGGTGTTTGTGTTCTCACAGAATCATTGCTACATCCTATTTGCTAGTGATTTTTAGTATTAATATCACCTGTATGTGTATTCTTGCTGAAAAAATAATCAAAGCTTAAGACTTAAGATCCCTTAAATACCTACTCCTCAGTTCCACATTTACACAGAGAAGGAAAATAATTATCATCAGTTTATGTCTGTCTTTACAAGACAATTCCCAGGTGTCACTAGGGGTGACAATCTGGTCTCCTACAGATCTTAGAATAGGCAGCTTCCTGTAGTGTGTACTGCTACTTACCTCTGAGTTCACAGGATTCTTCTTATTTTATACGGTCCACCCATTGTCTCTTTTAAGCTAAATACCTAAGTCTTAACAATTGTTGTTTTATACCTTGTTTTAATTTTTTAAAGTTGCATAAAAACTGAAGATCCAAATAGAGATCTAAGATCCAACTAGTTCTGAAATGGAAAATTCAAGGTTTGTCCAATGACTCAGAAAGGAAAGCAAAAAAAGCCATTATCAGAACCAGCAGAGAGGTCATGAACAGAGCTGAAGAGCCAGACTTTGGGCCAGGTGGCCAGGTGGCCAGGTGGCCACATATTCTAATCAAGACAGCTGTAACCGATGAAGATATACAGATGGTTCAAGGGGCAGATTGCTTCAAAGCACAGAGCTGACTCCAGGCATAAATGGTGTGAACAAATGCAAGCTCAAGTGAGCCACTTCTATTTAGGCTGATCAGGGTATGATGGGGATGTTTTCTGTACATATGTTTCTCTTAGTTGTTGATGAATAAAGCACTGAGGCAGGATGATAGGTCGGACTAGGAGACAAGGAGGATTCTGGAAAGTCTAGGCAGACAGGAGTCATCATGTGAGCCCAGGGGAAGAGAGGATGTGAGTGAGGCGTCTCTTCTGTAAGATAAGACCATGTGGAAATACTTAGATTAATAGAGATGAGTTAATAATTAAGACAAAGCTAGCCAATAAGAACAAGCCAACAGCCAACAGTTTCATAACTAAAATAGCATCTGTGTGTTCATTTGGGTCTGACACGGCTCTGGGATTAGGTTGGCGGGAAGAATACTCTTAACAATGGTAAGCAGAAGTCTTGGGGACAGAGCTGAGAGCTTGCTTCACTGGTGTCCATTCCAGGAAGGTCATTGGGATTTCTTTCTATCATTGGAATTGCAACAGGGTCATTATTGGAAGACATCTCGAGAGGTTCTTCCTTCCTGTAGAAGGAACAGCAATATTGAGTTGGTGGTCCACACCAACAACGTTATGACACAACACATTACACATACAGATCGCATTAAACTGTGCAGCCACAGGCAGATTTTTTCCATGTGAACACTACATATTGCTGTGATTACCTAAGGACACAATGAGAAGCACACATAACCGAGTACATACATACACTCCCCTTACATCCTGAATTCCTAAGAAACAAATGAGCCAATTGAGTAGAGTATAAATGTTGGTATTCATAATTCATAAAGGATAAAGAGGACAGACAAGGGTCAGATTTCTCTTACTTTGAAAACAAATTATGATAGTATGTAAGTTCAGAGGTAGAATACATGACCACCACTACCACATCTCGTATTTGTGTGTGTGTGTGTGTGTGTGTGTGTGTGTGTGTGTGTGTGTGTGTGTGCAAAATCACATAGCATATGCACATTCAGAGAGTTACTTTGGAACAGGCTGGTCAAAATACACAGTTGGTTCAAGGCTTGGTGTCAGTTGAAGATATACAGATGGTTCAAGGGGCAGATTGCTTCAAAGCACAGAGCTGACTCCAGGCATAAATGGTGTGAACAAATGCAAGCTCAAGTGAGCCACTTCTATTTAGGCTGATCAGGGTATGATGGGGATGTTTTCTGTACATATGTTTCTCTTAGTTGTTGATGAATAAAGCACTGAGGCAGGATGATAGGTCGGACTAGGAGACAAGGAGGATTCTGGAAAGTCTAGGCAGACAGGAGTCATCATGTGAGCCCAGGGGAAGAGAGGATGTGAGTGAGGCGTCTCTTCTGTAAGATAAGACCATGTGGAAATACTTAGATTAATAGAGATGAGTTAATAATTAAGACAAAGCTAGCCAATAAGAACAAGCCAACAGCCAACAGTTTCATAACTAAAATAGCATCTGTGTGTTCATTTGGGTCTGACACGGCTCTGGGATTAGGTTGGCGGGAAGAATACTCTTAACAATGGTAAGCAGAAGTCTTGGGGACAGAGCTGAGAGCTTGCTGTCTTGTATGTAGTGATGCATATATCAGGTGGCCTAATGATGGCTCAGAGCATGATCCAAGTGAGGATATGGCATCACTCATTGTTCTGGTGTTTTGGACACATGAGATTGTTTTCTTGGACAAGGTCTTCAATGATCCATGGGTCTAGGTGTTCCTGGCTTGATATGTTTACAGGTAGAAATAATTTATTTGTATTAATAAGTTATTTATTAACCTATGTTTATTCTCTGTATTGGGCACTTGCCCACATAAGGCACAGAGTCATTTTGCCTCAGCATTTGCTTTTCAAATGAAGCAAACCACTGTCATATGAAATGGAGTCACTCAGGGCAAGGCAACTCTGAAAACTACTGTCCTATATCATACAAGGAACACAGGTGGGCACAGTCTGAGCTCTACACGCTCCATCTCTCACAACGCTAGAACCAGGAGCTCTACTCTCTGGGTTTGAGCTGTGGTGGGGATCCAACATCATCAAGCATGTGTCATGGTGCCCTGGGATGCACCGGTTGGTAGGCAGCCATGAGGGATGGTAGTGGAGGTGGGAGTGACTGACAGACACAATCCTAGCTCAGGCCGTGGAGGCCTGAGGACAGGCAGTCCTGCCTGCTGTAACCAGGAATGACATGGCTCCTGTGGATGGATGACTGCTGAGCCTGAGAGTTCAGAGTAGGTGCTGGCAGATTCTTTGGTTTCTGAAACTGCCTCATGCAGTTGGTAACTGCCTTAGTCAGGGTTTCTGTTACTGTGAAGAGACACCATGACCATGACAACTCTTAATAAGGAAACCGTTTAATTGGGTGGCTCACTTACAGTTGAGAGTTTTAGACCATTATCATCACGGTGGGACATGGTGGCATGCAGGCACACATTATGCTGGAGAAGTAGCTGAGAGTGCTACATCTCATGCAAACAACAAACAGGAAGTAGTCTGTCTCACCCATATATGAGGCCACAAAGCCCACCTTCATAGTGATGCCCTTCCTCCAACAAGACCACACCTACTCCAACATTGCCATACCTCTCACTAGTGCCATTTCCTTGAAGGGCCATTTTCTTTCAAACCACCACAGTCACTGCCAAGGCTTCTGTGCCACTCCTACACACACAGGGCCAATATACAGGTTATCATTGATGTGGTTCATGAGTGTCATTGCTAGATAGTCTGGACTGTTGTTGCCTCTCTCCTTTGGAAGCTTTCATTATGCCTTCTAGTTCCATGAAAGATAGTCCTCAGTGCAGGGCAGGGGAGGGGGGAGGGGGAGCATCCAAGTCAGTTAGAGCTCAGGAGTCTCTGGATCCTGTGTCTGAAGAGCATGGTGTCTTAAGCAATATGAAAATACCTTCCACCTCTGGGGAATAACTAAGGGCAATAGCAATTGTATGTCTTAGGAGTGTCTTAGACAGACATCACCAACAACTCAAAAGAAGGCTTCTCATGTCTGATATTTGCTTTTGTTTTTTTGTTGGGGGGGGGTCTTTGGGAGTTCCATCAGCCTAGATGAGAAAGGTTCTTTAAAACTATGTATGTATACACTGAATTGTGGGCATTATCGCTTTTATTGTTTTAGGGAAATGGTTAATAGTGTGATTCCTTGAGGCTGTTTCATCCACCCATATTGTTATTTTGCATGCATCTCTCCTCCTGTGTTTACCTCTCTCCCCCCTTCCTAAGGAGAACACATTTTCTCCTATCAGATAAATTGTACCCTGGAAATATGAATAATTCACCAATTATTGCACAAGGACCATGGTAATATTCTCTGTGTCATTCAAGGTTTAGTATGTATGCTGCCAAAAAGCACATGGGTTGACTTTAATATCCAACTCCCATCCATACCATACAATTTCCAGGTACTCACAAGTCAACAAACTTCAGAGTTAACTGTGCTGTATATCAAACAGATTCAGAAGACTTCTACAGAATGATGTCACATACTCCTCAGCATCTCATAGGTCTTTTACCAAAAGAAATCACATCTTACGCTGTAAAGCAAGCTTTAACAAATAGAATGCTAATTTCTTGTATCCTATCAGGTCATAATCTCAATAGATGGAGTCTTTGAAAAACTAAATTCATCCCTGATTACAGCCCTAAACAAACCAGGAAGAGTAAGTTCACACCTGCACAAAATTAAGGCTACTATGATAATCCTACCAACAGCATTATACTGAATAGGAAATAAATCAAATTCTTTCCTCTAAATACAGGATAGAGCCAAGGGTGACCATTCCTCAACTATTATTTAATATATGGCTTGAATCCACAGGGAAATAGAAATAGAACCCAGAGAGAGAGAGAGAGAGAACAGGAATTACCCTATTAGTGGACGAACTGCTTCTATGTTTAAAATCCTACCAGGCTGGCAAAGCACTTGCCTAACATATAGAAGTTTCTGGATTTGGTCCTCTGCACCACATACCAAGAAAAGCGCTCTGAAATCCGTCCAGGGCCCAGCAAGGTATCTCTGCAGGTTAACAAGCTGGCTCCACAAAACTAATGGTCTAATTTCAATTCAAGAATGCCCCTTTAATCTCAGGACTCAGGAGGCAGAGGCAGGCAGATCTCTGTGAGTTCGAGGCCAGACTGTTCTTCAGAGAGAGTTCCAGGACAGCCTCCAAAGCCACAGAGAAACCCTGTTTTGAAAAATCAAAAAAAAAAAAGGAAAAAAAAAAAAAAGAATGCCACAAAAATTTGAATACAGTGGCATGCCTTTGAAATCCCAACACAGGGGAATTACCCAGAAGCTGAAGGGGAGATCACCTGGAGTACCCAGAAAAACAGAAAGTCCAGGAGAGATTGTCACAACAGGTTGGAAGAACAGAACTGATGTTCAAATTTATCCTGTGATTGCCACACACAGTGTAACTAACACACACACACACACACACACACACACACACACACACACACACACACACATACAAACACACACTGAAAAGACCAAGAATAGCTGTGGGTAAGCTCTCTGGACTTAAATAAGCAACGTAGGTTATGGAAACACAATTGCACACCTCTGAATGTCCCCACAGCCACAGAACTGTGCATTGTAAGTTGGTGAGGTGTATAATGTTAACTATACAAAAATAATGACCTTCCCGAAGAGAAAAGCCATCTACACTATTCATTTTTTTTTTTCTCACCCTGAAGTGACCTGGGCAATAATCTTCTTGGAGAAGAAGTTTTAATTTACTACATATCAATGACGCTTGTATGTGTGTGCATATGCAAGGTAGGCTTTCCAGTTCTTTAATTTTCATAATCCATCTTAATCCTAATTATTTTCCTCAAGCAGCTGATTCTGAAACTTTCTACTTCATGCAGTTTTCAAATAAAAATCAAACTTAAATCAATAATAGTCAACAGAATGTCTGGGGTGTCAGGAAAGCTCCCAACCTGATCATACTGTGTTCAAATGCACTAAGATGTCATGTGGTACTCCCATATATTATGCAATGTGGCTATAAGGTAAGTATTTACCAAATACTTAAAGAGCATGAAATTCACATAACCCATACAAAATCTTGGTTTATCTTTAAGTAAGACCTGTTCATCAAGAGCGTCTGTAAGAGTCAGGGAAGGAAATGATAACTACAGGTTACCTTAGCATAGGCACTGCTGCTGGCATTATGGGATGGTTGTAGGCACAGCCTTCCTTTGAGTCTCCTCACCATCCCCTAAATACACACACAAGACATGTTCCTTCACAGGCAAAGGCCAGGAGAAGCTTCTCTGAAAAGCAGCTATGTTCCTGAGCTGTGTGAGGGATCTGCCCCTTCTCCACAGGGTCTCAAGAATGCAACTTAAGGGGCAGGAGAGATGGCTCAGCAGTTAGGAGCACACACCACTCCTGCAGAGGACCTGGCTTCCATTCCCAGCAGCCATTGTCTGCAGCTCCAATTCCAGGGATCCAGTGCCCTCTCTGTCCTCCAAGGGCACCAGGTATGCAAGCAGTGC